TCCCGCCCGGCGCGGGGCACGCCGCTCCCTCCCTCCCGCCAGCCGCGCCGAGCCCCGCACCGCCCGGCCCCACCGCCCAGCTCAGCTCCGCACCGCTCACCTGCCGCCGCTCCGGCCCCGGCTCCCCGCTCACACACACGTACACACACGGCCTGGGCTGGCCCAGGGTTGCACGACCGCGCGCGCGCACACACACACACACACACACACACACGGGCTGGCACAGCCCAGGGTTACACAAGCGTGCACACACACACATGTGCACACACACAGGCTGGGCTGGGGTGACCCAGAGTTACACACACACACACACACACAGAGGCTGGCCCAGCCCATGTTTACATGAGCATGCACACACACACACACACACACACACACACACACACACAGAGGCTGGGCTGGCCAAGGGTTACACAAGCACATGTGTGCGTGCGTGCACACGCACACACGCGCACGCTGGGTAGGCCCAGAGCTTCCAGCCCTGCTGCACTGCAGGGAGAAGGTGTGGGGAGGGGGGAAAAGAAGAGCCCCCCCACCACCTGGGATCTGCCCCAAGCCTGGGGCAGGGGGATTCCTCTGTGGGGACTAGCACTGTAGATGGCTCAGGCCTGACCCTGAACCCCACAGTGGGCAGTGTTGTGGTGAATATCCCACCCCTTCCCTGTGCTCCAGTCTGATGATGGATGGGGAGAAGGGGTCTGGGGGGACTTGACATGGAGTGGGATGTAGGCATGAGAGAAAAAATAAGGGGATAAATGACTGTAGGTGCCAGGTATCCACCTCCAGGGCTAGAGAGACAAGTTGCCAGCAAGGAGAGCTCCCAGGCAGGCTCCTGCACACCCCCCGCCCCCAAACCACAGATGCTGGACATGGCCTAGCCTTGTCTGCTGCACACACTCATCACAGGGCACACCGAGTCAAGCCTGGGGTAGGAGAACCAAGCACTGTAACCAGCTTCTGACCGACAGAGTGAGCCTGGGGGCCTTCCAGGCATCTCTCCCTCAGATTTGCTACAGTGGCGTTAGCACCAGTGCCACTTCACCAACAGAAGCAGCAGTGGGAGTGAGTCCTTGTCTGGACCCGTCACATAAAGATGCTACATTTTAATGGCTGCATATTCTAAGCCTGGTTGAAGTGGGGTTTAATGCTCATATTTGTTTCTGTTTTCTATCCAAGCATACTCATTTCTCATCTTTGGTATTAATTGTCTCTTGCAGAATGTTTCCATCTTCTAGTCTGGTGTTAGAAGGACGTGCCAGATTACCTGGGTTAAGTGAAAGCTCTTTCTTCAGCCCTTCCTGTGTAGGCCAAATGCTATTTTACAAGCCCTGCCGTTTTCAACCCAAGAGATTGGTAGGCCCACATAGTAATTCTGGCAGTCATTTCTCATGGGGGAAGGACTCGAAAGGCCCTGTGAACTGGAAGCTTTTAAAAGATCATCTGGAGAGGTACTGGTACCTCAGAGCCTCCTTCATCAGACCAAGGAAGAACAGCTAGTCCCCTCCAGGACCTCTCTCTTACTTGGTAGGGCTCCTTCTTGTTTATTATTGTGTAACCTCTGAAAACATTGACACTTCTCATTCTTCAGCATGACCAGCTTGCCCCATAGTCTGACCACTTTCTTCCTCTCACCTGGTGCTTAGTGTTTGCCATTTCTTCCCACTCCAGAATTGCATCAATCAGCAACAGCACCACAGCCACTAACTAAGGTTCAGGCTGAACATCAGGAGACATTACTTTATGGTTAGGGCTGCCAGGCTCTGGAATGGGCTCCCAAGTGAGGTGGTACTCTCTCCTACCTTGGGGGTCTTCAAGAGAAGACTGGACAGATATTTGGCTGGGATGATATGCCCACGGCACTGGTTCCTGCCCGGGACAGGGGGTCAGATCTGTTTGGGTCTCTTCCGACCCTAAGCACTATGATACTATGAACCCTGTGCTCATATCTCCTATTCTAACATCCTCCAGTCCTCTCTCCATCAGACAGGCTTCTCCCATTTCCCTACCCTCACCTTATGTCTTTTCCACCCTGGGTCTACGACAGTCCCCTTTTCATTCATTCTTTCCTCGGCATCTCTGTCCTTACCACACTTAAAACTATAGCAGCTGCAGCCCTCCTCAAGGAAACTGCATTGACCCTGGGACCCTAATACTCTCAAGTATGGATTTGTTGAAACCACTTCCCTGCCTGAAGCATCTATTTTTCCACTTGAATATCACTGAGAGAGATATCCTGGCTCTTGGATGGAGAAAGGCTCTCAGCCACAGCTCTGATGTAACCACCTCCCTTTTCATTGACCTCCTCTCTCTTCTCAGTTCTGAGATCTCCAGACTTTGAGCACATAAATGAGCATCTCAGTCTGCCACCATCTGTGGACCTTCCTTGCTGAACCTTTCCTTTGCAAGTCAGTCAAAGGCGCATGGCCTCCCAAGGCCACAGAGATCCAACTCCAGTCTGTTCAGGAGACTTCAACCATCTTTTCAGGTGTATATGGAATACAGCTATATCAGCTCCACCCTGAGGGGTCTTGTCTGGTTCTCCATCTGCTGCAAAGTCACTATCTTCATCTTCAAGGCCCTTCACGGTCCCAGCTCCATGTGCAACTGTCTCTCTCCTTCTCTTGATACTATGGCTTTGAGAAAAAGGAAGCCTGGGGGGGAAGGGGGGAAGAGATAATACACCTTCCCCTCCTCTGCTAAAAGCATGAAAACTGCTCCCTCCATTCCCAACTTGCCCCCCAGCCAGTGTTGCTAGATGAACAAAGAGAGCTTCCTCTCTCTGTTCCTGTCTTCTTTGAACAGTGCCCAGGACTCCTACTTGCTTTCTCTGCTCTGATAATTCTACCTACACATAAGGAATTAATTGTCAGCACCTTTGCCATAGGGCTGCTCATCCATGAGCCCCACTCCTCATCCCTGAAACAACACTGCCTGCACCCACCTCCTCAGACACCACCCTGGTGTAGCAGTTGTTAGCTATTACTCACTCTTCCTACCTCTCCCTGTCTTCTGTCCTCACCTGCACTCACACCTTTTACTGGGATAATGACTTTGTACTGACACTGCGCATTGTGAAGCCATTGTACAAACAGACCCCTATGCAATTAAGCTGCAGTTTACTTAGCATGTGTCAAGAGGAATGTTGCATCTGCTAGACTGTAGTATCATTGTGTGTGTGTATGTGTGTGTGTATGTGTGCATGTTGTGCTGATATCCTGTATATTTTTGTACTTGTGATGGTGTGTGTTGTGCATGTGTGCACATGCTTGCATAATGAGTACCACTCCTTGTTGATGTCAGTGTATGTATACCAATATGTACTCCCAACTCACTGCTGTCTGTTGGAGGGGGAGACAGCATTAGATTACAGTAAGTGGTATAGGACCCAGGGTTTTCCATTCTGCTTCTCTCAGAGGTGAGAACTGTGGCACTGAGGGGGAATCATGGGGAACATAATTCAGAGAGGAAAAATGGGCGAATTTAAAGAGATGAAACTTGTTGGCTTTTTCCTTTTTTATCAGCAGTCTTAATGTGATTATTACAAAGAGAAAGAGGCAGGGAGAGGGGAAATAAAGAAGGTAGGTAGAAAAGAGGAAGGAGTGGGGAGGGGAGGGAATGGAAAAAGGAGTGGGAGAAGACCCAAGATGAAACTTCCTAAGGAGTGAAGGGCTCTAGTCCTCCAGGGCAGAGTCCTAAATCTAGGACTTTGATCACCATGTCCAGCCTCCCGGAGACCTAGTCAGGCATTGGAAAAAGGATTCCTGCACTGTACTGCAGGCTAAGACTCTGCTCTGCTCACTGTTATGCCATCCCATCCCTGGAGGCTTCTCGGATTGAACAGCTGCTGGGTCAGAATTAGGAAGGATTTTTTTCTAGCCCTAAGAATCTGTTCAGAGATTTTCCCCTGTTGAAGAAAATCCCACAAAGTGGGAACCTGGGGTTGGGTTGAAATGACCTGTCACCCTGATGCATTTGTGCCTCATCCCTGTGGCATGTCCTAGCTGAAGAGCAACCCCCCCTCTCCCCCCCAGCTACCCTTTAAAATTACCATCACCACTCTCATAGAGACAGAAAAAATTACCTGTCAAAACTGACTGGAGCTGCTTTCCTTTCTTCCCTCGTCTGGAACCTGCTCCTTGGAGGCAGCTGGACATCAGTAGCACGAGGCAGATGCTGAGCTGAGGGAACAGGTGCTGCCACTTCCCCTTCACTGAGGAACCTTCCCCAAGGCAAAAAGGAAAAAAAAAACCCTAATCCCCAAACAAACAAAAAAAAAACAGCTTTCCCGTGCAGAAGCCCAGTGAAATGCACCCCCTCCTGCCCACTCTAATCCTTCAAAGGAGACAGGGGAACAGCAGAAACCAGCTGGAGAGAGTCCACAAATACTGCAGACCTGCCAACTCAAATTAACATCTCCTAGCTTGGCTCTCACTCCAGGTCACTCTCTTGCACATGCACACTGCACAACACCAGGCTGGGGTTTACATATTAAAACAAAAGTCCACGCCCACCCCCCTTTTCTTTTCCCAATCTGCCCTGGCTCACAATACACGCCAGCAGCCTGCTGGCCCTACAGCAGTGTAACCCAACCCCCTGCCATTGTTCCCCCTTCCCCAAGGTCTATATTTGACTCTACTGCAGCACCG